CTTTGTTTCGGTCTGTTGATACAAACCAGGAAACTATATATGTGATCAGCTGACCTTTCAAGGTCAACCTTCACTGTCTCAGCTACAGATGTGCACATGCAGATGCATGCAGGTGACTTGTTAACAAATACAAGTAGACATGGAAACTGTGGATTGCCTTTCTAAAAACCATTAACATATATATTTAACTTTAATTTTTCCAATTAGTGATTTATGCCCACTTTAGTACTATAATACTAATATGTATAGTTGTCATTACAATCATTGCAATCAGAACAATGACAATCATTGAGAAAAAATACTAAGTTAGCAAATCAAATATGAAAGACACAAGGAGCTGATTTTGATTTCTTTGATCTGCCAAATAATAGATATATTGTACTTTGTGACAGAATATTATCTGTAAGTGCAGAGGACTGCCATTTTAAGTTTTCCACACTGTTTTAGCATAGCTGTGAATTACACGGTAGTTACACAGTAAGGACTGTGTTGCATATAATTGGGAGGTGCCACTGATGGTGTTTCATTGATATTAAAAAAAAAACCTTGACTTCTGTTCTGACCATCAGTCTGCTTTAGGAGACAAATAAAAAGTTTCAGTGTTTTCTATTGAGACTGACATTATTAAAAAGCATTTTTCTGTCCTTTAGATTCAAGCAGAACTTTTCTCAACAGCAAAATGCTGCATACGGTTTCACTGCTCTCATTTAATAACTGATGATATGGGTGCTGGAGAGAAACTGTGCCAATGTGTAAAAAAAGTCCATAGGATGATTAAAAGTAGTGAGGCTGTGAACAATGGGCTGCTCCTTAACCTCCTATAGGACACAAGTGTACCCTAGTTTCAACAGTGCCCATATTGGAGCTCTCTCTCTCTCTCTCTCTCTCTCTGTGTGTGTGTGTGTGTGTGTGTGTGTGTGTGTGTGTGTGTGTGTACGTGCTTTCGTGCACACATGACAGGTGACCAGTGTGTGGACAATAGGAGGGTCAGTGGCCAAGTGTGATCTCTTTTCTTTACCCCTTGTCACCCTCTTCCCAGCAATCTCTGTCTTTCTCTCTCTCTCACATACTCACAAACCAACGGACACACACACACACACACACACACACACACACACACACACACACACACACACACACACACACACACACACACACACACACACACACACACACACACAAACATTCAAACAGATCTGTGAGCGTATGAATGGACAGATTAATCAGATTATAGCAGAGACACACTTAAACAGCCTGTTCTCTGGATTAGTTATGGTCCTGCCTACTCCCTGTCAGAAGAAAAAGTGTGTGTGGGAGAGAGTGTGCACAGAAAGAGAGAGGGGGCTCTCAGGGCAATTTATCATTTAAGACTCTGCATATTATTAAATTTATGTCCACATCTTCTTTTTTGTTGGCATCTAATATCGTCGGTTAGACCTAAAACAGGAGGTCCTTAATGAATCCTCATTGGTTATTGAGCATTTACTCACAGAGGCTTCTGTGTGAAGCTCTGATGTTGTTTTAGAAATCAGTTCAGCTTTCTTTTTCATCCCACCTTTTCTTATTATTCTCCTGTATTTTTAGTGAAATAGTTATCTCCAGCTGTAGGATACATTTCCCCTCATGGGTCAATAAAGCCTTAATATTGTCTCTCTGCTATGTTGTACGGCTGGAAGATGTAGCTGCACTGGCAGTCAAATCACAGTTAGATACAAAAAGAAGATACAAAAAGAAAGCTGTTAAGTTGTAAGATTTCTTTCTCACTTCATCCTGCCTGTGTGAAATATTTACTTGTGATTGGTCACAACAGTGTTGATTAAAACTCAACAGCAAAAGTGATGCTAAGGTCTAATCCTTGGCAGCATCCTTCATTTACCTTTTAGGTAACAGACATTTTGGAAAGGTGATGACTCAATGCTTACAGTAGCCTACCTATCGTCTGATTTTAGCCAAATAAGTTGTGTTATCCATAAATATGGCCCATATTCCTTCAGATTTCCCTCTTTGTTTTCTTTTCAGCTGCTGATTTATCCTGAAGTGATGTAGAAGCTGACAGAATCTGTCATTAAAGGAAATACATCTGTCCATGCAGACACGTGACTGTTCTTACTAATGCACATTAAGTATTTTTGAAGAAGTCTCAGAAGTTCACGGAGTGCTGTTCTCTCTTTACAGCAGAGCGGCATATGGCAGCCAGTGACCAGGTCTTTGTCTGACTATTGACACCAGAGAGATACAGCGAGGGGAGGATGTGAGTGTGTGTGACAGTCCAGGGCCGGAGAACAGCCTAACAACAACAAAGGACAAGCTTTAAGCCTGTCTCCTGTGATTTTCCAACTCAGCGAAAAGCTATTGTGGCATCGAAAAAAAGTTAAGTTAAAAAGCTTAGCATGGTATGTGCTAACAACTGCCTGCCGCTTGTGTAATACAAGCAAATACTTTTTGAGCAGTCACAGTCGCAGCCTTTGGAAGGGGACGGTCCCAGTGTCTACAACCAGTGTGCAGGTCTCTGCTACAGACTGAGAGACAGGTAACAACTGTGACTGAGACTTTATACAAATAAGTCTGTGATTTTCAGTCGTTCTTTACACTTATTATATGACTAGTTCTGTTCGGCAGTGTGTGTGTGTGTGCGTGCATGTGTGTGTGTATGTGCGTGTGCTAATGTGCTCCATGAACACACTTGACACACAGACATGTGATCATCTATTAAATGTCTTGTGCGCACATAGAAATGAGACTGCCAACCAGATGACTTTCTTTGATGATTACTTCTACACTCCCAGTGGTTGCTTAAACTCCCAAACACACACAAACACACACACACACACACACACACACACACACACACACACACAGTAGTCAGGCAGGGGCAACCGGGACTAAATCCAGACTGGTGGTTTCTCTCTCCAGCTATAAATACCCCTCCGCTTAAAACAAGATTATACTTACACACACACACACACACACACACACACGACCACGCGAGGATACTGCTTACAAAAGATTTAAAAAAAGACATTCATTCAAAGATGTGTTAAGAATTGTGTTTTAAATAAACACACAAACAAATGCACACTCTCTATTTTTCTCTTTAACTGTCTCTCACACATCACTCACACATGCATAAAAATACTCACATTCACACACAAATAGTCACACACAAAGAGATGGCGCTGGCCTCAGAGGAGGCTAGCTAAGCGGTCTATGATTATGGGGTGTGTCTTTGTCTCATTTAGTGGTTCCACAAGGAGACAGTCTTCTGCTGTGTCAGACAAACACACGCACACACACACACACACACACACACACACACACATACACACAAACCAAAACACCATCAGTCAGCTAACAAATCCCTCCCTCAGCTTGAATTTGTCTGATTTAGCCATAAGAGAAAGGCAAATTTGAAAATTTCTTTCCAGTATTTCACCAACGTTCTCATCTCTTACGACGATTCAGAGCTCCATCTGCTCCTGTGAGCAGAGGGATTAATAGTTATGCACTCTTTAAAGCAATAACTATTACTGGGACATACAGCGGTATCTTCTCAACTCTTAACAGGAGGCTAATCAAAGTGTTTAAACTATTTAACTTGTTTCTTAAATGCATACAAACCACATCAAAATATACTGTCACTCAAAAGAGGTTCATTATTTCATTCCTCATTTATTTTGGAAAAATATTGCGCCGTTTTCCAGTAATAAAAATGACAGGCTCTGTACATACGACTCTTCTCTTAAATACAACACAGTCACAGGGGTCTCAAGTGCCTAACACGTACATGCATACATACATACTTACATACATACATTTTCTGCCAAATAAAAACAATCCAACTTAAATTACAACAGGCTCAACAAAAAAATCACAACAGGGTGGAACACAAATAATAATATAATTAAATTAGAAGAATACATCTTTCTTTAGATAACAAATAAAATAAAAACAAATGATCCTAAACAACGACAGGCAGGGCGTTGATGTCCTTTTATTGGCTAATAGTGGAAGACTGGGAGTGGGCAGCATATACGTATGACACCACATGGGTATCACAGTATCTGTACACACAAACACTCATACACACATAAACACACATACCTCCATAGTGCAATGAGGTCATGGCAGTTAAGACTAGTCCTTAATAGCTCAGCCTCCTTAAAAACAGCATCATCAGAGCTCAGGAGAACTTTTTATTTTTAGAGTAAAATTGGTTTAAAATTTCTGTGAAGTTGTATTTTTTCCCCCTTTGTTTGTTCCCTCACTTTAGCTGTTGTGTTGTCTAAGTTGCCCTGCCCATAACATTGCCCTGTGTATCACAACCTTCAGGGGTCAGGGGGCCACTATGGCCCAACAGGATCCATGCTGGATCGATCTGCAGTCACTACTGGAGTCTTCAGTTCTCTATTACCTGCTGAGAACCAGCTCAGCCAACGCTGTTACTGTAAATGCTGCAGAGCCAAAGATTTAGAGCAATTTTAGAAGTCCAGCTGTTTGTTTTGTTTGTTTTGAGTGGAAAACTCCAATTAAAGAGTTTTCATTTAACTCTGAATTACTTTTATTTCAGCTGCATCTGCTCTTATTTTGCTTGCACATCCTTGACTCTGCAGCACTGCACAGAACATGAACTGTCCAATATCTACGACAGCTTTTACACTGCATTTTAAAACCACAGCACATAACAGTACTACGACAGTACTTCAAAAGTTCTCAGTACACCAAAGGTACTACACTGTTCATTCAATCAGTACTCCATGGTACTACAATATCATCGGTCAACTTCCAAGTTCATACTCCAGAGTTAATCAGGAGAAAAGAGTTCATCCTTGTATGAGCTGTATATTTCCCATTCCTGCAACAGTTCAGCAGCCACCACACGATTGCAGTTCTCATCAAGCACTGTTTCCGTACAGAGTGTGTGCCAGTACTTGAAATGTCCTCTGGTCCTTCATCTGTAGCATCAGACTTCACCCATCGAGGGCTGTAAATGTCTTGTATCCACCTCTAATACTACTGGAGTACCAAGTCCTGCCAGGTGGGCACTGACTCTGCACTGGCTCAGTAGCATCTTGGCTCAAGTCCTCCGGTAAATCCCAGGGAACAGCAGCAAACAGCAGGAGTAAAACCTCCTGGAGACAAGCTGAGCTCTACTGCTCAGGGCTGGTTTGAGTGGACCGCCATCAACCAGAGGAATCTGGTCTGAACTGGTCTGCACTTGTATTATACCTGGAAAAACATAAAAACAAGGTCAGTTTGTTTTTAAGTGAGCACTCTGAAGATTTGTAGTTCTGTTGTGTATTTGTCATGCAGACAGCTCTATCTTTCTGTACTCACCTCTGTAGCAATGATACATTCATCTTTTTGGTCTGACATGACGTAGATGGACTGGTATTTGGTGTCTGTGGTACAATGGTACCTGTTGTCATTGGGGTTGTGGAAGTCAACATCACTGGTTGATTGGTAATTAATGTCAATGGTTGACTGGTATTTGACGTCACTGGTTGACTGATATTTAGGATCACTTGCTGCTTGATAGTTCAAATCGCAGGATGACTGATATTTCGCCTCACTGCAGCTCGGTGACTCTTCTACTTGTTTCTTTTCTGATGCGTCACTGTGGGCCAAAGAAGAAAAAACAGAATGAGAACTGCTGTAAATCATTCGCAACATTTTCAGGTTGCAGAGTTTGCTGCATGCACAATATGAAATAGAGGTTGTTTTTGACAGCTGCATACCTGTCATGTCTCTTCCTGTATCCTCCCTCTGAGTCAGAGTCATCCAGCATGTCACATCTAACCTCAGGTTCTTCATGGCCCTCTTCTTTACAAAGTGACAGCTCCTCAGGTCGCAGCTCATGAACCAGGTTGTACTCCACACTGGGGTAGCGAGTCTTAAAACCGTTCTTCTCTGGTCCATTGAGTCCACTGATTCCACTCAGACCACCCAGTGACCCAGTGAGGTCTGAATGGTAGTCTGCCTTCTTGTTGGTGTTTTTAACCGATGTCGTCATCAGAGAGCCCAGTGTCTTGTCACTACGGAGACAGTTGTTGGTGGTTGTCAGGTTGTTCATGGTCTCGTGACTATCACTATGAACACTGTCACCATGGTGACTGTGCCGCTCCTGCAGTTTGACCCTGATGTAGACCACCAGCACAGAGCAGCCAATCAGGATCACAAGAACGAGGAACACCCCAGCGCACACAGCTGTCCAGGGGAATCCGGTGCTGTCATCCTCCTCCTCCTCACCATCAGGGGAATACCTCCGATCTGGTCCATCCACCACCGGCTGACCTCTGGGAACCTCAGGTAAAAGGAACTGACAGTTGTGACCACCATAACCAGGCACACAGGCACACACGTAGCGACCTCCACGCTCATGGCAGGTGGCTCCGTTGTGACAGGGGTTGTGATGGCAGCGGGACACAGGAGTACTGCAGTTTTCACCAGTATACCCTGCAAGATAAGCATGAATTAAGAATCTAGAACACAAACAACGAGCCCTGCATCAAACCACGACAAATCAAATCAACAGTGCTATACCTGGAGGACAGGTACAGGTGTAGCCGTTCACTCCTTCCTGGCATGTCCCACCATTCTGACAAGGAAAGGACAGACAGTGTCCAGAGATGCTGATGCTGTCCTCGCAGTTGGGACCCGAAAACCCCTCAAGACACTGACAGAGGTAGGAGTTCACCAGATCCACACATTCTGCTCCTGCAGGACAGAATCAGAACAAAGATGGTGGATTAGTCTCCAGATATTATATGCAGGTCTGTTAAATCAAAGGTAGGGTTCAAATTACAAACGCAGAGGATGGCATACCATTTAAACAAGGGTCAGAGGAGCAGTGGTCAATTTTCTTCTCACAGTTGAAACCAGCATATCCCATTGGGCACTGACAGAAGTAGCCGCCTTCTGGGTTGTCAGCACAACGCCCCCCATTGAAGCAAGGCCCATCTGCACAGGTATTGGCACTCAACTCGCAGTTGTTGCCATAGAAACCAGGTGGGCAAGTGCACTTATAGCCGTTATCATTGTCCTGTATTTGAAAAAAGGAAACAGTGATTACACACAGGCTCGTTTTCCATGACTTTACTTGTTTTCATTGATACATGACTTGTGTTGAATGACACTCACAGTGCAGCTGCCTCCGTTGCGACAGGGGTTTCCAGAGCACTCGTTGACCTGAATCTCACAGCTGGCTCCTGCGTACCCAGGCAGACAAGAGCACGTGTAGCTGCCCTGGCCAGTGTTGGTGCAGGTGGCTCCATTGAGACAGGGCTTATGGTGTGTACAGTAGTTCAAATCTGGAAACATCAACAAGGAACAACATTTAGAAACAGCACAGTTAAATTATGAAACAATGGAGGTTGATTAAGTCCACAGGAGGTAGTTAATCTCTCTGTAAACTCACCCTGGTTGCAGAAGAGCCCACCCCATCCCTCCTGGCAGTTACACTGCCAGGGCTGCTGGCAGGTACCATGGAGGCAGCCTGGGTAACGGATACAGTCATCACAGTAACGTCCACTGAAGCCCACACGACACCTGTGAACACAACAGTTATTAAACACTGTTCATAACAAAAACAGCAAAAACAGTGACCTGAACATGACTGCTCATTGTTTTCATGACTTACTTGCACTCTCCTGGTTTATCACAAAATCCATGTTCTTCATCACAGCCAGGAAGACAGATTGCTGCAGAGAGGAAACAAATAATGACAGGTGAATCATGGGAAATCCAGGGTTGGAAACATATGTTTGCCCTCCATCAGTCTCCCATTCACAGAGGACCTTTACAAACTGCTGCCTGCCTGTCTGGTTGGCGCCCCAGCCTTCTTATCTGTTTGCCTGCCTTTTAGCATGTTTGCTGCTCTGCCTGTCTTTCTTATTAGTTTACCTGCCCTCTTGTCTACCTGTCTGTCCACAGTCTCTTTTATTTTCCCTTTCTAGTTGTGTCATGGAGGCTGTTAATCCAACCTGTGGCTCCTGTCTGTTGGTAAAATACATTCTGGACCAGACTCAGCAAGTACAAGTGCAAGTACTACCAAACAAACAAACAAACCCAGTTTTGAGTGATATGAGGGTCACTGATTGTGATGCCCCTGGTTCTTTATCGCTGCAAAACTTACAGAAAATGTCACCTTTCAGCTTCACGGCCCAAAGAAAGTCACCAAACAGAGGAACCAGCCAACAAACTCTTTCTTTTAACGTGGTTGCTCTCTGATACAAAAGCATCCCTCACAAAGCCTTCTTTCTCCCCTTGACTGTGGGTCAAAAGTCTCTTTTCTCACCCTTGGCCCCTCTCTTCCTCCCCCCTTTCCCCTCCTACTTCTGATCCTACTCTACTCTTCCATCACTCTATCTCTGTCGTCTCTTCTTCCTCTCCTCTCCTCTGTATTCTCCCTCCTCCTGTCTGTCTCTCTCCTCTCTCCCCTCCTCCTCCTCCTCCTGCTCCCCCCCCAGGGCCAGCTGGTCTGTGTGGAGCTAACCACCAGACAGCTGCTCCATTGTCTCCTCTCACCGAGCAGCTGCCCCCTCCACAACAATACACAACCCTGCTCGGCCAATCACCAACCTGGACCGTAACAATACAGGACCCCCACTTGGCCAATCGGGGAGGAGGTTTAGGGGCGAGGAGGCCCCAGTGGTCTAATGGAAGGCACGCGGCGTGTGAATTACCGAGGAGCCAATGTGGCTCATTAGAATGGAGGCCTCTGGTGCTATGGGATAACTAACTGACGCCTGTTGCACACGGGCCTCGCATTAGGAGGCAGAAAACAATCCCCGAAAAGTAAAAACAGGCAAATGATTACACCTAAGATGTGATCTAACACTTTCAAGAAAGTTTCTTCCATTTCCATGTAAGTCAGACATTTTTTGACCATGAGGCAAAGTCAAAGTGAACATTATCCAAGTGTAATCCAATGAAAGAACTCATAATTATTATTGTTTGGTACTGAGGTGGTACTTTAGGATCAGATTCTAGGTAAACATCAGCGCCTGCTACTAATGACCGCTGTTTCTTTTCTTTATCTTATCTACCCCACAGGCAGCTGTAGCGTAATTAAAATATTAACTTGTACAACACGAAGATAAACTGCTTGGTATGACCTTCATTACCGTTACTCATGTTACAAAACACGGCCTTTTAAATTTTGTTGTAAACACACTTACGTTCAGTGCAGTACTGTCCTTTCCAGCCAGAGTTGCATATGATCTCCCCACGCTCTCCGCAGGTGAAGTGCCCAAATGCATCATCTCTGGGCCGACAGAAGACAGAGCAGCCGTCCCCATAGTAATGCTCATCACACAGGAAACGATAGGAATAACGCAGCTCAGTCCCGCCGCCTGTCTGCATGTCCTTGGACCACTCTTCTCCCACAGTGAGGTGGCGCTGAGTGGTGATCCTGCTGATCAGGCGATCAGGGTTGTCTGCAAAAGTCAGAGACTGCTGTTATAGTCAGAGGTATGATTGGATGCAAACGGTATTTCATGGTTTAAATGAATTTCATCACTTTTGCTTTGGAGACATTAGATATTTGCTTTCTAGTCTGGAGGAGTCATTTTGTATGATTCTATGCTCAGTGAAGGTGGGTTGCTCTTAGAAAGGGCCGAGAGTGTCATGTCGCCAATGTGAGTAAAATCTCCCTTCAAGAGGTTAAAAGTGCACTGTCCTTAAAGAAAGCATGCACAGGTTGCACCTGGTGACTGCCAGGTGTGCTTCATTGTCTTAAGGTCAGACACCCACACCTCAGTGCTGTGATGAGTTAGTCATCATTAGTTCAGTTAGTGATAAGAGAAGGACGTAAAGATAACAGCTAGTATCCCAACAAACTGTGGGTGGCCTTTTCCTCTATTTGATGTTAGATTACCCTTGAAAACTCACTTTATTCAATATTAAAATGTGACATCTCAGTTTGTTTTTATGCCACATATGGAAGAAAACACTTGGGAAATTGTCTTCTTTTGTAGGGAAGCTCTTTCTGTGGGTGAGCTTTACAGCCTTTGAAAACGAATCTAAAACACACTGTACATCAATCTTTGTGTTGTTGTGTTTGGCACACTCAGTGTGAACATACTACAGAGAGGCCACTATCAGCCTTCTGGCCTGTCTTTGAGTTACACTGCTGCCTTCTCTGGCTGTCACCCACCTGTTGTCAGGTCGTCCAGAGAGTCAGTGTGCAGGGCTTCAATGATCAGTGAAAACGTCCCCTGAGGAGAGAAACAGAGAGTCAACAGCTGCTCGGCCTGCAGCCTCCCTCCCTCTGCACAGCAGCAGAGGGCCATTAGGAGGCCTTCCAATAAACTTCACAGCCTAATTCCCGTGTTGATTAGGGGCCTAATAAGGGTTACTACCTGCTCCCTTTTCACACCCCTGCTACTATCACACTCTAACACCGCCGTAAAACCAAACGAGGCGGAATTTCACGCTGCGCTGCCAATGATGTGCCAACTCAGAGGATGTTAAATTTCCCACCACGGACGGTCAGAGGAGAGGAGCGTTTGGTGAAAACACTGCCTCCCCCCTCTCTCTCCACACACGCCCTCCTCCCCTCCCCGTTCTATCCCACCAAAGAGCAGTGAAATACTACAATAGCCCCTCTCACACACTGCTGACAAAGACCCCCACAAGTGTGGAGTTTGGGAGCATCTGTTGCGTTTTGCACTCTTCAAAGCTAATGTGTCCCACTGGAGTAAGACTATAATAACTTCACAGTCTGTCCGTGGTTTTCAGTAGTCCTTGAAAATGTGATAGCCCACTGATCGAAATATAGACCAACTATTACAAATTCTACATAGTACTAAAAAAGACATACTATACTTTAATCTTGTTTAAAAAAGAATTTGTTCATAAGTCTTTGTTGGCGTATGTGACACAAAACCGATGCAGGATATCTTCACGTACCGGCCATGTGAAGCCAAAGGTGAAACGGATCGGGTTGGTGAAGCTGTCCGCGTTTGTCTCCGGCACCTGGAAGGAGTTGGAGCCGAGGACGGGCGTCACGGCCCCGCCGTAGGTGCAGGGAGGCTCGGGGGAGACGTTGGCCTGGTAGTGCTTCAAACACACCCTAAAGAAAGTCTTACACTCACACTGCTGGTGTTGGCCCTGCGGGTGAGCGGAGCCTCCAGGACAGCAGTTTGCGTTCCCAGGTACACCTTTCTTGTTGAGAAACTCCTGCAGCTTTAACTCAAACACTCCAGAGCACAAAACCTGTAACACATACACACACGCATGATAAGTCAAGTGTGTTTAAGACAAGTGACTTCAGTATGTCTTTGGAAATATGAGAAAATACCCCATGACGCTCTCAAAAACACAAAAATACCATTACGCGCATACTCTGCGTTCCGTTCTAGTTTACAATATTACGCCCATGTGATTGGACCTACCTGGCAGGTGAACAGGGAGATGCTGACAACCAGGAGCGAACACAGGCGTCCCATTGTGTTGACAGCCTTTAAACAAGCAGTGAAAGCTCCTCAGGTCCGCGTAGCCCGGCTCAAACACTCATGGAGAAAGTTTGGAAAAAAATATGCCACGGTCAAGGTGTAGAATTGACGCGTAATAGGGAAGGTGAAGAGAACCTTGTTCTGTCACTCCCTCTACCTCCCCATATAAGGCACGAGTTTTAGACAGAGCTAAAAAGTTTTTGGTGTAAAGTAATCCTCGGTAGAAGGGTCCTCTTGCAGAAGCGTGAATGAAATCCCGTGTGGAAAAGCTGAAGGGTTAATTCCAATAAGTCGTTGAATCAGCTCGTGTTTATTTTCCCACTTGATTGATAATGATATTCTGATCCAAGTCTGTTTTTCACTGACTCTCTTGGTTTAACAGTGCGTGTTTCTGTTGGGTCTTCTGCCCTGCTCAGGGTTTTATACCGGGCCAGCAGGCGAAGGGTAATAAGATGCAAATGAGCCCCTCTGCTCCTCTTCTTCCCCTCCCTGCACCACCACCACAAGTCCGCCCCGGGGCCATCACAAAGAAAGAGAGTGGCGGTGGTGGTGGTGGGGGGGACTTTTCCAAACCCGCCCCCCACACCCCATCCCTCCCTCCCTCCACACCCCCGTGCTCTCTTTCTCTCAAAGGGACAGACCAAATGGCTAGTGAGCTGTTAAATGTGCAACAACCCCTCGTTTCCCCTGATGCCTCCCTCCTCCACAACCCAGCACACAGGGCCCATTTACATTCCGACAAATTATTTAACCTCTGCATGAAATCCTCCACAACGCAGCATCAAGTGGTTTTAGGCACAACAGCAGCCAGTCCGCCCCTGGCTCTCCATAGCTATATAAATATATATTATTATTTTTTTGGTAAAGGCTTTGGCTGGCACGGATTCTGGCTGCATGTCAGCCGGCAGCCAGCCGTCCCAAACTGCGCTACAACGACCATCTGCTTCGCCACATTCCTATGGTGTTCCCCCTGCCGTGGTGTTTACATTCTCACACTCCACAAACATCGATGTGTTGCTTTCACCTTATCTTTATTTCTTGATTGGAGGTGCAATACAATTTGTACCTATTCAACTCCATTTCCATGCGAGCAAAATCATACTTCGTATCGGCATTTTCCGTATTGAATCGTGGTTTACTGATCTGCCAGCTTGGTTTCAAATAGGGAAAATCTCTATAAGAATATTAGACCAATAAATCTGTACAGCAAACTTAATACAAAGCATTCAAATGGGTGTTTGTAACCCAAATTAATTCCAAGCGTAAATTTGGAATAAAGGTGGGCTATTTGGATCCGCCCCTTGCGCTCGACTTGACGCTTATAGTGGTCACCCCCAAGATTGTCTATGTTTTATTTCGTCCGCCCGATCACATTTTGGAAGACTCTAAATGCACTCAACCCATTTCTTATGTGCGTACGGGGAAAACATTCTCGGGCAGAGAATCTGCCAAGTGCACGAAAACGCACCAAATAACGCACAACTTGGCTCTCCTAAACTTTTCACCGCACGCCTCTGTAGCCTATTTCTCTCTCTGACTCTTTGGTAGATGCAGTAAAAAAAGACTTGGTAGTGTGTCACTCGCGTGGCTGTCATTAAGGGACTTTGTGAGGAGAAGGAGGGGGAGGAGGACGAGGAGGAGGGGAGGCATGGAGGGAGTAAAGTTTTTTTTCTTTGTGCTTTCAGCTGTATGGTAATTGGGGCAACAGCACCTGCTCTCCCACAATAATGCAACACCAGAGAGAGAGCGAGAGAGAGAGAGAGAGAGAGAGAGAGAGAGGTTTTTACAAAACAGTACTCCTACAATATGTTTGATGATTAAATATCCAGCTTACAGTCAGAGGAGACGAACACAATGGAGTGCAAACAGAATGTATTTCTCTTAGCTGTAAACTCTTTAACGGCTAATATGGGTACAAACTCTGACTCCACACATGGACACACTGTCTCATTTGCATATCTGTGTTTATCCGCAGAAAAATGTGGGGAAGCATTCCCACTTGTTGGCAGGGTGTGGTTATGTGCTCATCTCTGGCTGTGAGGGAAAGGTGCACTATCATTGTTGTCATTAAACCCCTTTCCTACAGTTCAAAATGTGCACATTTTTTCCCCTTTATAATCTATCTATCTATCTATCTATCTATCTATCTATCTATCTATCTATCTATCTATCTATCTATCTATCTATCTATCTATCTATCTATCTATCTATCTATCTATCTATCTATCTATCTATCTATCTATCTATCTATCTTCCACATTGAGTTACTTGAGACCTGCATATGGATATAAAGCTAATTCTTCTATAGCCTAAAGTTGGAGACAGTAAATGGTCATCAACCACAAATTGAGACAGTTTTGCCGAATGCCATGAAAATTGCATGTGAGCATGTCATGGGTGATGGATGCCCCAAGTATTGTGGAAAAGAAAAGATATGATGTTGAGATATGGAAGATATGGATGTTGCTGAAATGAGAATTCAAAGTGTTTAAGCCTATACAGTACTGTGAAGAGGAATAAAGTTGTTTTTTTTAAATATCCTGCCATAATTTTTGTTGTTGTTGTTGTTATGGCTTTTTGATTTTTCTTAGGGATTTGATGTTGTGGAAACCATAATTATACATTAATTTACAACTATTGTTCAATTACAAAAACATGAAGCTGTGAGGACATGAAAGTCAGTAGTGTGGAAGAGCATGTGCTGTATTTGTGTAATAAAACCAAAAACAGAGAAATCAAAATTCAAAAGCAGAGGTGTATGATCAAGGGGGTTTAAGGAGATCTTTGAAAACTGTCTGCTGCTGAAACAGACTCTGATGATCAACCTGCTCACAGGCCTGCAGCCCTGGACTCAGAAAACAAGCAGCAGTCAGGTCTGCATGCATAGGTATCTGAATAGTGCAGACAGTATCACAGTATCTCTTGTTATGATTCCATCATGAATATTCCTCTCCTCCTCTGCATTAGTTCACTTGACTTATGCAAATCATAGATGCCAGACAATTAGTTTGTGTCTTTTCTGCTTTTCACTTTTTCTACTCAGCAACTGATGCAATGCAAAATGTAATGAGGTATAATAATTCTTGTAAAAACAGAGTGAAAGCAAAAGCACTGATTTAAAAAACTACCCCACTGAGCAACAGACGGCTATTAGACTTCTAGTTTTTTTCGACCTAATTTCAATAGTCTAGATTCTGTATATTTTTAGAAGGAAGGGCCTTTAACCTTAACCCATTATTCGATAACTATTTATTTCATAAAGCAACTGTGAGTTGCATTACTGATCTCCAAGTACTGAATTAAAACAATAATGATAGCTGTTGAACAATATACAGTGTAGTGAAGACATAGCCCAGATTTAGATTTAGTCTTAACTTGGTCTAAATTTAGACATCTAAAAAACTTTCATTTCTAGACCTGTGGCAGCCTGATTTTAGACCAGCTGTCTAGGCTACATTTAGACATCTATCAGACCTCTTTTAGACCAAAAAATGCTCAGTGGGACTCAAAAATCAAATGTATAAAAAGCTCAGTTCCTTTGAATACAAAAGCTACCACATATGAGAACAGACTCATGCACATGTGCCATATGACTTGACACAATTCAGGCTATCTCATCAATATTTTGGTGTAGTGCTGTCTGAACTCTATCATCCCAGCTTTCCGATCCACACACTCAGTACTAGTGCACTGCAGCCTGTGGAGCTGGGATCTGATCATTGCATAAGTTTGTTGACCCTGCAGGGCTGTGACTCCCTGTGGGTCAGTGTGCAGATAAATGAGAAGCCTGTGTCGTCTATGTCTAATATGGCTGCAGGTCCATGATGTGCTCTTCACACCCCTCCAGGCTGATTGAAGGGCCTTTAACCTTAAGCTTTAACACCATTATCCTTGCCCTGCCACAGTCCTTGCAGATACCCGTATAGCCTGTGTGTATTTAGCTATAGGACGCTGCTCATTTCATTTAACCAGTTGATTTCAGCCCCCTCCTCAAAGGTGTACAATGCCCCTATGTGGCGTGGCGTAAAATCCCTCTCTTTAGGTCTCTTATTTACACTCATCCCGACTTTCAGAGGTCCTCGGTGCTTTTTCTCTCCCTCCCTGTATTAGGCCAATATACCATCAGTCATTCATCACCATGACGTGGCACACATTTCCCGATTACGCCAGCAAAGCGTGACTGAAATGCATGGTGGGATAGAAAGTGACCCCCTTCCTCCTCCCTCTCTTCTCCTTGATTTTCTTCTGAAACATAATTTATGCTAGGAGATTCTCTAATTGTGTCTTCAGGAAACAGCAGAAAGTACAAACTCCTCCCATCTGATCCCCTGTATGTGTGTGTGGGTGCGCGCGCGCGTGAGGTGAGAAGATTGTTTAACTGGAGGTCGATTGTTTAACTGAAGTGCTTTCCTATTGTCACTATGTGTACGTGTTTCTTCGTGTGCGCGCGTGTGTTTGTCCCCGCGCGTGTGTGTGTGAAGCCAGGAGCTCTGTGACACGCAGGGGGACAACAAAGGAAGAGGTCTCGCGCCCCGCCGACCATTCATCCCTTTCTCTCGTGGAGTAATTCCCATTGATTCTCATTGAACGGCGAGTCGCGAGCCCCTCGGGGGAGAAACCGTGTGATTTGTGAAGGGTCGCGAGGACAAGACACGCCCCTTCGCGAGCCTCGGCCATCTGCTCACCAAACTCCACAACACCAACCAACTACCCAAATGGCTTCCCTCATCCCTGTCTCTCCTTAACAGTGTTTTAACATCAAATTCATCCTCCTCCAAACTCTATAAGTCTGTTTCTCACTCATTTCTCTCACTCATCCACTTCTCTCTCTATTTTCTCCCTCCTTACACTCATTTCCAGGCCAAATGCCTTTGTAGGTGAAACCACTGGTTGCTTCATGGGCCAAATCACAGTGGAGGCATGCAAGGGGCTGGAGCTGGCCATATGGCCTGTGTGCTTGACTGTGTGTGTGATTGTGTCTCTGTGTGTGTAAATGTGCATGTGCGTGTGCCAAGAAATGGATGGATGGCCATCGTGGGAACCTCCACAATATTGCCATCACACCAAAACCCACACACACCGTTGCACACAGCATGCAGCATTTGGTGTGGTCAGTTGTTGAAATCAAAGCTCTCAGTGACGCTCAGTTTGAGGCACAACAAATGAAACTTCTTCTGTGGTAGGTTTCCACATTTAAGAGACAAAACCTGCTGTAATTAGCTTGACTGCTGACTGAGGTGTTTAATTTGTAACACGGCTAAAAGGGTGGAAGAATAACTAAAAGACACCAGTATTTAAGTACACCAACTCCAGTGGTGTGGTTTTATCATTAAACATTCTAATTAGACTTTGCAAAGGGATGAATAGAAGAATAAGATCAGTATACTACTACCCCTGTGTTGAGATAAACCTGAGGCTTTTAACCTGCTGTATCAGTCTTGGATATAGACATTTAGCCTATCTTTCAGCTTTACAGTGGAACACAATCTTACTGTACATCTGTGACTCTGCTCTGTCAGACTGGTCTGGGCTGCAATCAACTATATCTTGAAGGACACTAACACCATTCATATTGTCATTCAGTTTTTTTTTTGTCTGTTTTTTTTGTTTTGATATTAGGAAATTAAATGAAAGCCATAGTGATGCCTTTTTTCCGGTATATGACGGCAAACACGACAATCAGTGTCAAGATTGATGATACATATATTGTCATTTGTAATGCCTGAGAAAGGTGCAAGGAAGTAGGTGTCAGCCAAGCAGCTGAAAAAAGCAATGTAACAATATCCACGTCCAGCAAATGTTTACAATAAATAACTCATTGGACTGTCAAAAGTCAGCAGGATTACATTTTTTTAGTCAGACAACACTACTTATTCATGTAGAGACCAAGACTGCTTTGTCCAAAGGGGGTGCCAAAATTGACACACACAAAAAAAGGTCTTTGCAGGAGCTTTAAGATCAGCTTTGGTAACTTAAATGCAAAACAAAAGATAAACAAGGAAAAGTTGTTCCTCTTTGAATTTAACTTCTTGATGCTCCAAATATGTGCTTGGTCTGCACCTTTGTTTATCTTGTGCATTGCTGTAACAAACACAATTGGCAGTATTTAACCATATGTATGAAAGCTTAAGTTATGTAACTTTGATATTCAGCAGTCATGTTACATCAAATATTTTGACCATTAATATTGTTTGTAGGCTTGATAAATAATTTGCAGAGATCACATTGTGTTTCACTGGACAGATGGTCCCTTTAATTCAACAAGAAAATGACATGAAAAAAAAAAAAATTCTAAATTCCAGCAATTTAACTTTGAGTAAAACATCAATATGACGGTGGTTTTTGTTTTAGCCTATGTACCATTAGATATTTGGGGAAAAAAACATCTTGATTTGTTTACCATTTTACTGAATGCCCCCATCAATGGCCATAATTTTTTGTGGTTTAAGTGGAATTAAAGATGTTTTTTATTACTGTATGACACTTTTTTCAAAGTTTCAGTCTTTACATTTAATGTCTCATCTTTAATAGACTTTAAACAAACACACCAACAAAAAAAACCTCTGCATTTTGAGCAAACCTGCTCCCTGAGATTCTGTCCCTGTGGCTCCCCAGGGGTCCTTGGCCTTTGGTTTGAGAACCAGTGGCCTCCAGCAGCAACGGGATTAGCCAGACCAGCTGCCCACAGAGACCCTGGGCTCTGGACGCTGACACTAGGCCTGACCCCAGGGTGGCTACTATCAGGGACACTGAGGGGATTTGGACAGCATTTGGTGTGTAGAAATGTGTGTGTGTCTCTGTATGCATGTGTATGTGAGTTTGTGGCTCATTCAATTGGACAACTGTTGAGCCTGTACAGATTTGTGCAGTAGTGTTCTTTGTGTGTGTGTGTGTGTGTGTGTGTGTGTGTGTGTGTGTGTGTGTGTGTATGGTCAATTCTTTCCGGGGGTTAACTGCTGATCCAGTACAAATGGGAGGTGTTGGGGGGCAGGGCTGAGGGCAGTCGTGTGCTCCTGGAACATCTGCCTCTGTTTCTCCTGAGTCAAGCTTTGGTCAGGAGCAGAGAGGAGGAGGAGGAGGAGGAGGGAGGATGCAAAGGGGGGAGGAACTGAAAGGGGGAGGAGATCGAAGAGTAGAAGGAAGAGTCTGTGTAGGAGGAGAAGGAAGTTGAAAAGAGGTAACATGAATAGATAACAAACCCAAACACACTTACTGCTGAACATGTATGATGAAGGATTATAAAAACTCCTTTCACTTGTTGTCTTTTGTGTTCACATGTTGATGATATAGGCACAGAAATAACACTGTGTCTGTGTGTGTGTGTGTATGGGTGAATTATGCAGCAGTTTTTCATGGATGAGACATACATGTTCAGGCTGCACAAATACTTATTTCCTATTAGAAAAGTATAAAATCTTGTATCTGGTCCAGAGAAAACCAGATCTGAGCACTGTGTGAGCTAAAACCTTTATTTTCATGTGCGTTCCATCTATTTGTGCATTTATTGTCTGTGACTGTGTGGTCATTTGGCTCCTGCCTTACCACACAGGTTTCGTCTTCTGGTCAGAGGCCATAGCACCCTCCTTCTCTTTCACCATCACACAAATGGATGAATTTCTGCAATTCATACCAGACTAAAACTAGTTTGAAGGCAAGTGATTATGCATGGCTGATCCCCACTCTAAAAAAATCACAGTGAATTCTCAACATAACTTTTTAACAACAACTCTTCGGGACCTTAAGAGATGGAGAGAGCTAGTCCTCTGACTTGACACAATGCTTTACATGCTACAAAAGAATTTAAAAAGTATTCAATATCATAATCCTGTGAGCAAAACTATTCTCCCAACTACTGTGTGTTGACTTTTGGAAGAACTTAAGTTAAAACGCTAAACAGATCTTTTACATTGCACAGTGTACACTATGGCAGATGCAGCTAGAACTGTTAGGCCACAGCAGACAATGGACACATTCAAACTATGAAAACTCTACACTCCATGCCAAGTATGGAAAGAAAGTTATGACATTCAGGTAGTTTGTAGATACACTTACATTAAAATATAAAGTTTTTGTACAACTGCTTTTTTTTGCTAAGGATGATCAAAAACAGTCAACTCTATCAAAATATTAAATGGTTTAAGTTGAAACTCTTAAGTCACAACTGTTTGTCTATCCATTGTCTTTGTTTATGTATCACGATGTATAGTGAGTTGATGTTTATTGAGAGAATAAAAGCTGTAATACTGTTGGATTTTCTGACCACCGACTTGGAGCTAAACTGGAGAAATTGCTTGAGAGCCTAAAGCTATGAACAAAGAACTAACCAGGGCCAAGGTGAAGCACATGAGCTCTTACCAGGTGCAGGGATAGAGCCCCTTTATACGTGCTTAAGATAATGCAAACCTATTAACTCAAAACTGAAGTAGAATTAAGATAACTAATAGATAGAAAACATTGGTCAAGTTTGGTCCAAGACCAAAATGCCTATGTGGTCCTCATGACTGGCCATAACTCTTCACAGGGGGCTCGGATTTACAACAGCGTGGCCCCTCCCTTCTTGAAGATCAGTTGACTGGGAGGGGTAGATTGTCTCCCCAACCCACAGAGCATCTGGCAGAGGAACGACAGATGCTGACAGCTGGAGTGACATCCAGCATATGTCCCTTTCTTTAGCCCTGCTCCTCTCAGACAATAGAGTGGAAGGGTCGGGGGGCTTTGTGTTGAGAAGGTAGACCTAATAGCTTGTGACTCCAGAATAGAGCCCCTATTCTCTATGAGAGCCTGGAAAGCAATTAGCCTGCCTCTGATCCAAGCCTGGGGAGTTATTATGGGTGGACTGAGCCCACCAAAACGTCAATGGCCTATTCTCATTCATGCCACATTGAAGAAAAACAGACATTTTCATCTAAACAGTCTTTAAAAGTTGTATGTAGAAGATGAATTTCATATTTGGGTCTTAATTGTCGATCAATTTTTGATTAATCTCAGTGATAATAACTTCGACTATTTCACTGCAGCCTAAGCGAGGTCCTTGCACAGAGCACGTGTGTTTTGTTTTGCAGCGTGATGACGCCACGCGCAAAATACAGGAAGTAGTTTGGATGTAACGCATGTAAACAAGACTTGGACGGATGCTGCCCGTGCACAGCAAGAGTTAGAAGTGAGCTTGTTCTGTGTCAGACAATAGACTACCAGGGGCAAACACAGGTACAGACATAAGTAAACATGACACGAGTTGGTTCTTAAAGGCAGGGAACACGGCGGTGCTTGAATACATGAGCTAAGCTAACTGTTAGCATTCAAGTCCATTGTAAGCAAACCGAGTGAGTCACATTATTTCTCCTCCTGTATCAGTGTGTAACCAAAACTGTCTCACTCATTCATCACCAAGAAAAAGCTGAATTATAACACGTCAATTCAGGAGTGTCCTCTCACTCGGTGTTTCTGTTGCTTCTCTGTAGAAATGGGTGTAAAAGGTCTTCAGTATTTTATGGAGCGCTGCTATCCGGATACATGTGTGACAGTGGACCTGAGAGAAATGGCCAGACAGCACGCTGCCAAAACGCCACAGGGCTCAGACACGACCACAGACAGCACGTCCAGTTGAGTGTTTTTTTTTTCCTGTGTAGGTGGTGTAACAGCGGGAATAGATGCATCAGAATGACTTTACTCTTTACTCTTGTTGAATCAAATGGGAATGTTTTAGTTGTTGGTATTGAATCAATGACAAAGCTTTATGTTTTGGGTGTATTTGTGTAACCAAGAAATTGACCCCACTTTTTCCCTCCACCAATGCACCTACAGAGAGCAAAATCTTGTTTCAGGTTATGTCCTAATACTAATGTCCTTTACACCCACTCACATTATTATCAAGCAGGTGCTGCTGTAAATGAGAGTAGCTATAAGGTACTTGTGTTCCTTATGATTTTTTTTCTCTAATATAGTTTTGTGTAAAGTTTCAGTCAGTATCAAACCAGTATTTTTTCATATCTTAATGATGTAAAAAAATTTAATACTATAACTGTGAATTTAAATGATTAAACATGATAACTTTTTATATTGTACACTATGAGTCTTAGTAGAAGCAGATATCAGTGCAATGGGCCTTTGGATGAATGACAGTACAGATTGCATTTGCATTTATTCAGTTATTTCAAAGTATAGGAACATGCCAATATGTTAGCAGCCGTTTGCAGAATAAACAAAATATGATCAGTATAATGGTTCAGTATGTTTAAAAGCAAGTTATGTAACACTTATAGGAACAATACCCAGACTGCTGATATGAACAGCATACAGCATCACTGATGCATAAATTAGGGCTGCAGAGACACGGGCAGAGTTATCTGAGTGACAGTGAAACTCAGTGATCAGTATAGATCCCAGGAAACTATCGCTGATGATCTTAAAGCTTTGTAAATACCACAACAATGTACACTGGATGTTTCTTACCACTGTGTTGAAGGTGTCTGCTTTTAGTTTTTTGTAGCAGGCAGACCTGTTTACTGTAACATTTGTGATTTTACTCCTCTTTAGGCGCCACTCTAGTTGTGGATGGTATGGCCTGTCTGCGCCACTGGTATTTGTGTAAGGACTGGGTGTGTGGAGGGCAGTGGAGGGAGTACATGGATGGGCTTAAGAGTTGGGTGGAGGCTTTCAACTCAGCAGGGATAAGATTGGTCTTCTTCTTTGATGGCGTGGTGGAGGAGCAGAAAAGAAAGGAGTGGGTGAGTTAAGATACTCTTTATCATTTATTTTAGAAAACGCAGTTAAATCAGCCTCAGTACAGGGATTAGTAAACTTGTCTTTAGTAAATGTTATCCACCTGTGTCTCCAGGTGAAGAGGAGACTTCGAGTGAATAGAGAGATTTCTAAAGTATTTAGTCACCTAAAGTCACATGGGGAGCAGCCTGGTAGAGAGCTGTTTTGTCTGCCCTCTGGTTTGGCATCTTTTACACGCTTTGCTCTCAGGTCAGTATCAAGTTTCAATATTATGCCTTGGTGGTTCCTAACATATCCACTGTAATATTAAGAGCACAGCTAAAGTCTTCTACACAGTTGAACATTAGACTTCATCCATTATATGTTTGTCATTTAATGTTTTATTTTTTTGACAGGTCACTGGGTCAGGAGGTGTTTTGCTCTGTGCGAGAGGCTGACTATGAGATTGCAAGCTATGCTCGTCATCAAAGTTGTATGGGAATCCTGGGCCAGGACTCAGACTTCATCATATATGACAGGTTTTACTCTTTTTAATAGTGGCATTCTGGAGCAGAAGATTTTCACCAGTTTCTTCTCAACAGAGTTAAATTTGAATAAAGATTCAACTTTTCTAGGATTTCATGTGACTAAACTGAACATGTTTTTTTTTTCTTTAAAGTGCCCCCTACTTATCTGTGGCAAAGCTTCAGGTTAACATGCTCACCACAGTCCTATATGACAGACAGAGGCTCTGCCAAACCTTGGGCTTGGCGGTTGATCAGCTACCACTGCTGGCCTGTCTCCTAGGAAATGATGTGGTGTCTGAGGACAAGATGAGGAACACTAGAAATTATGCCATGGAAACATACAGGTGTCTGTTTTTTTCACAGTGTTATTTGTCTAAGTAAATGTGAGCAAACTTAGTTACTGTTCAGATGAAGACTTTAAATAACAATGATGTTGTTTTACTCAGGATAGAAAACACTTCACCACACTCCGGTGCTCCTCAGGAGCAAATGGTGCTTGCTGTATCCCACCTTGTGAGCTCATTGCAGGACAGAGAGGAGGAAGAGACTGGGCTCCATTCTCTGAATCTGTCAGTTCCTCTCAGAGAGTTGCTGCAGAGAGGCATTAACTCTTACATACTACCTGGACAGGGAGCTCCTCAGCAGGGTGACTTCTCTGCAACTTCTTCAGTTTCTGCATTTGAGAACCTTGTCAGCGCAGAAGTATTGAAGGTATTCTCTTTCCCCTTTCTGATGTTTTCAACATAACAAACGTTAAAAGCTTATTTTGTTTTTCTATGTGGTTTCCCAGGCCTGCAGGGAGAAGCATGTGGCAGCAGAGGGATTCATGGTTTACAGTATTATGTGCGAGGGCATCATTGAATGTAGCAACACTTTGGAGGATGAGGAGGACACTGAACTCCTGCCTCAAGCCCTCGTCTTAAAGCCGTGCAGACAACGCATTTATGGACTGGTGCTGTTACACAGGCATGATGGTAGGACAGAAAACCTAGTACATAGATGACAAACACACATAGTTTGAGTCCCACAAACACACTCAATACACAACAATTTTTTAGCTGTAAAAAAGGCCACATATCTGAAGTAACAAAGACAAATGCTTATGCAAAGGAGATAGACCGATATGTTTTTTCAGGACCAATATCAATTCTGATAATTATAGTCAAGGAGGCCTATAAGCAATATTTGGAGCTGATGTTCATTTGTAGTAAAAGTAAAAATATTGATGTCAAAATTTTTAACAATACAACTCCAACACTTAACTTCAGTAAAATGCCTTTAAGCATATGTTTATTAAACAGCTTTTCAGATTTGCAACATGTTCAAGTTTTATTTTTATCTTAGACTATAGACATCTTTGTTTTAAAATTCTAGCAAAAAGTGCAGGGAGCTCCCAGACTCAGCAGCATGCCTTGCTCCTAAAAGTTTTCCACAGTAAATAAAGTTTTTCAATATAACTGAAATGCTATTTTATCTTTCACTTATCTATGTTTCAAGTTCAAGCAAAAACAAAAAGTGCAGGGAGTTCCCGGGGTCAGCAGCATCTCTTTTTTTTCATCCTTGCAATGACATGAATTGCACCTTGCAATTCATGTCTACGAGAAACTGTTAAAGACAGCCAGTATCCAACAATATGTAATTTTCTGCTGCGTGGGATCTCTCAATCAACACAGAAATAAGTAATGTAAAATAACTTGGTAGTTAAACTGCCATTATCGCCCTATAGTTTTCTCTCAGACAGGTGGTGTTTTCATGTCAGTTTCTGCAGCTTCTCCTTTCCTGTCAGTATTCTGTAGCCATCCCCTCAACAGCTTCCCTGCAATAAAACTAACTGAATTTTACTCTATTTGCTGTCAGATTAAAAAAAGGCTGGTGCCTATAAGCGTCAAATGTCAAATATCGGCCTGGGCAATAATTGGTCTATCTCCAGTAAATACATACTGTGCATGGACCTTAGGAAAAATACATGTCAGATGGAACAGTTGCTGTAACTTTTTGGTGTTTTGTGTATTCTGTGATTTACTCATTAAGACATGAATACCTCACAGGACAGTGGTATGAAGTCAATCAAAGAGTGATTGTGGCTCATTTGCATGTTTTCAGGTTCAAATGTCAACCTTCCAGCGATCAGGGAATGGTTTGTCTACCCTGGAAACCCTCTGCAGGAACCTGACATAGTCCATCCTGTCTTAGTCAGCCCCTCAGGTATTGTACCTGATAGTTTTTATACACGGATCCCTCTATTCCTTTGCTCCAGATGAAGTCAAAACCTGGTTTCAGTTTAGTGGCACCAGCTGGTAGGCAAAGAAGATTTAGAGATGAGGGTTTTTTTTTACACATAGCTCTGCATCAGCCTGACTTGCAAGGTTGTCATGAAGTGTTTTTGCATTCAAAGCTTTCCTTTACTTTCTCTATTTCCTCTGTGTCAATGTGTAGGTGATCAACCCAGTCTGGACTTACTTTGGTTTGGCAGTGGTCCAGAAGTTTCAGCTCTCCGCCTGACATCCTTCTTTTCCATTTTTGACTGCCAGCAGCTCTCAGACTTATATGGTGAGATTGAAGACTCTCTCCTGGGTGCCCTCTGCCTCGTCACTTACATAGCTTTACAGGTAATTTATTTTTTCTATTCTTGTTTTGATCATTTTTAATTAGTAACAACAACCAGAAATTTAACCTTGAATTACATGACAGTCAAATTAAAAGGCTTTTGCTTGGAGTAAGTGTGAAATCCTCTGCAAAGGAGGAACAGAAAACAAAAAACGTTAATTTCTACATGCACCCCAAACAGCTGGTCACAGCAGTCTAATTTAATTAGTCTAATTGACAACACCTGTAGGAGATTTGACTCTTATTCCAAGTATTTAAACCCACTACAACCTTTTCTGTGTGTTGTTCCTTTAGAAAAAAAAAACTTAGAATCACCTCCAGTGACTGATACTTTGTTTTGGTTTCCACTGGTTGTGCTACATATCTGGGTATAATTATTTTAGCTTCTAAATAAACCAGATTAGCAAAGCATAATTTATATTTTGTATTGAGGCACATCAGTCAAGATAATGCGATGAGTGGTGGGTAAAGATACTGCTGCTGATTTGTATAAACAAAAAATAAAAGACAAGATATATTGAGTGAGAATTAAACATACAGACTTGCTTTTGATTTGAGATTTTGTCTACAACATATACAGCAATTATTCAGACCTTTTGTCAGCTAGTGATTTAAAGTTAAACATTTCTTGTTGACGGTCTGTTCTGAGTTGTTTTGTTGTGGCTTGATGTCAGCTTCTATCACCCACTGAGTGCCCAGTTTAACCACAGACACTGGGCTTTCAACCTCCTGCTCTTACGTCAACAACTGCTCTGATAACCATCCAGGGGCTTGAATATCTTAAGAGCCATTTCTTAATTCACATTACAGCCATTGTTTCCTTGTTTTGGTAGCAAATGTTAAACTATAAACATGTGGTCTTTGTAATCTTGTTGAAAAGCCTTGTGTTGGAATACTTCAACTTTGTGATTGCTTTTCAAAGTGTCTGAAGAAGCAGAGATTTGTACTTTTGGTCCATCGAGTGTTCTTGACGTCATCTGATTGAGCTTTAAAACAGTAGAGATTATTGTGTCCTATCACAAGGATAAAGGTACATGCGTCACTTTGCAGATGCTAAACAGAAATTATTCTGGAGAAACTCTTGAAGAAACAGTCCTCCAGTCCTTTGATGCCTCCTCGACAGAGCTATCCATCCAAAAAAGTTGAGCCCAAATGTTTTGTCACACAATTCAATTCAAAGTTTTTATAACAGGATTATATTGTGTCCCAACATGTGAACTCCAACAGTGTCGTGTCTTAATGACATTATTTTACTGTGTTTTGTCTGTAATCCAAAGTTATACAGACAAAAAGAAGTGTAGCTCTCTTCACTGTTTTGGTGTTACTAGAACTTCAGTAGACTCAGAGCAGCAGGATCCAATGCAGCCCCTTAAAATATCATTATATCCTTGTGAAACCCATCACCTGCATTACCCACAATGCAACTCACCTGAGTTTGTTTCTCTTGGGTGGCACGGGAAGATTCTGATTCACATTGTTCTGTCTGGCTTTCCCAAATTAGTATAAGCTTTTAAAATTAAAAATGTTTTCATACTAACAATTTTATTCTGGTAGAAAAATGACTGAAGTGTCAATTTTCTTTTACTGTTTCTTTCTGTCAGTGAAGCACAAAAAAAAGCCTGATGTGATTACTAACACAGGTTACCATTGAGCTCTACAGCTTTTGTTTTGACCGAACAGTTAACTATAAAAAGTCTGTTTTGTTACGGCGTACTTTTTTTCAAACAATTGAGAGAAGCTTTTAGGAAAAGCTGGGAAGGATTTTAGTAGATTACGTTTACTTTTACAAATGCTGTGCTCAGACAGACAAAGTTTAACACAAGGACAGCTTTTCCGCACAGAAGCGGATTTCCGGACAGACAGACAGATGCACACTTAGTGTCAATCACTGAAACGAATAAAGGCCGAGCAGACGGACCCAAGAGGAGCTTGTTTGACGGACTGTTTGAGGGGCAGACAATCAAAGTTGCCCAGACAGGCTGACAGACAACAGTAGCTGTTGTTGTCTGATCGCTACCGCATTCACATTCCCTCGTCACTCTTCTATTTAAACAGCTTCAGGGTTTGTTTGTTTTGTACACACAACTGGGCAGCCTTGTTTCTGCATTCAGCATTGTTTCTTTGTCTGTTGAATTGTTGCAAAGCAAGCAGACAAAACAAATCGACCCACACACACTACACTCTGGGATGTGATTCAATTGGTCAACCATGAAAATTTGCTCTGCACTTTCATGTGTGTATATGTGTATGTTTGTGTTTTCAGGTAGAAACTTTGTCTCAAGAGGATGTGGATGCTTACCTGAGTCAGGCTGTGTGTCTGAGATTAAAGTCCACACAGGAGCTTCGAAACATTAAGGTGAGTTGCTCACACACAAACACATATAGATATATCTTTTTTACAGATTTAAAGTCTCAATTTTCATTTGTATTTATTTTTCAACGAAGTGATTCGCTCAGTGATTTCCCTCTCGACTTTGTTGTCCTTACACACCCTGGAGTTGTTGCTTCCTGCTGAAAGAAAACAATGTCCCTGTGGTTTACTGTGTACAAGCTGTTGTGTCACAAACAAATTCAAAGACAACGTTTCCAGCAATAGAAAGTGAGTAAAATAATGGAAGAGAAGTCTGAATAAGCAGCTGGTTCAGTCCCAAGAAAAACAAGCAAACAAACCACAAAACCCTCATAAATCTGTGAATGGACCGACCGCAGCTGTTGAGTAGGAACTTGTAGCTTTATAAAGGTCATGAATGGGATTTAGAACCAAATCTCCCCCATTTCATCCTCACTACTTTTTTTAAGAATATAAAATTGAAGTCAAAGGTTTAATCCTGGATTATCTAACCTTGAGTTTAACTGTTTTTTACCTGTTGCAGCTCATGATCCAACTAGTTCTATCTTTCTTACAACTCAAAGAAAACTCTGTGGTCTGATCACATTAACATGCTGCTGTTATTAAAAGGATTACTGGTGCTGTCAGAGAGCACAAACACAGGAATAATGACAGCACTGTAAGTCTTCATGTTGTCAGCGAAACCAGCCACACACTTGCTTTTTTTTTTCTTTTTTCACAAGCTGATCTCACATGTGCACAAAAGTCCTCAAAAGTTTCCAAATATTTCCAGGTGGGCTGCATGTGTGAATGCAAACAGACAAAAGTTTTACTGTTACTTAACCCAGAATTCTGCCAGCCAGCCCCCCTTGTGAAATTTCTGCATGAGGCAGAGTAAGTAATTTGAAATATCCAGAAAACCCCTCTGTCCAAACAAATAGTCAGAGGGGAATGACATTTATAGGTGCAACAAATAATAATATCCTAAAAAGTTTTCATTCTCAATTTTCTTTCACTTTAGTCTATTTTCTTAATCATAGTTAAAAAAAAAAGTATTAGAGGTCCTTTTGTTTGAATTTCAATGATAATGACTTAAGGCCAATGAAAATCAGAAATGTGGTCGATCACATTGTTAGAGGATTTCCTGATATCCAACTGTTGAAAAGATTTTAAATTTTCCTGTCTTTTTTTGTGGCTCTGTTATCTGGAGCAAGTACATCAGTGTGTTCTGGCATCGAGACAACCTGCTTGTGGCTCTGCTGAGGTGTTATTGACAGTCAGGTTGCTTTGATTGCAGCCATCAGCTGGTCTGTATTTTCGAGGCATCTGTATCTTATATTTTAAGATACTCCACTGATTCTCTTAGGGGTTCATGTCAGATGAGTTTGCTGTCCAGTTAATCACAGTAAACCATTTGGTTGTAGTTGTGGTGCTGTGGGCAGGTGCCAAATCCTGATTGAAAAGGAATTGGACATGTCATAACGTTTGTCAGCTGCTGGAAACATGAAGTGCTGTCAAATCTCCAGGGTTTAGACAGATGGCTGCATTGACTTTTGATGTGAGTGGGCCAACCCCAGTAGATAGGATGGCACCCCAAATCATCACAAACTGCAGAAATGACACTACTGCCTCAAACTTTTCCAGCTGTAAGACTCCATGTAAGGAGTCTAGAATATATTGAATCTTTACTGAAACTAGGGATTGAAGAAGTTTAACTTGATCAAGATATTCGAATATGTTGTGATGTACTTGTATGTAATGTGATTGGTGTTCTGTTAAAGTTTGCTGCTTGGTCAGAATCCTACCTTAGCATGAATTGACAGCTTGGGCTGTCAGATTAGGCTATTTTTTAACTATTATGTAGACAAACAGAGGTAGGCAGAGCTTTAAGGGTAAGACCAGCAAGTTTTAGTACTGTTTATTAGACCTTTTTAAAGTTCTCCAAGAGGACAGACCAGTATCCTTTAACGTATGTGGCTCCTGGCATGTGAACACATTTTTAACTACTGCTGTCTTTCTATTTGCATTGGCCAAGTAGAGGATGTGTAGTTAGATATTCTATTATAATTATACTCTGTTGCAATTTTGATATTGGATAGGGTAATAAAATATTACTCTGTGATTCTTTTCTTCAGTAAAAGAAAGAAAAAAACTTTCCACTGTGAGGGATGATATAAGGACAGTAAAATGGAGCTCTTGATTTTTTCCAGATATTCCCAGTAGTTGGTGTGTGAAAACAGCCACAGAGTCTTCATTAAGCTCGGTCAGTCTGATGAGAGCTCTCACAGTCCAGAGGATCAGAGAGTCAGCTGTGCTTTTCTAAACGCTCTCTACTGTCTTGTTGTAGCCCCCATTTATTTTGAGTGCTTAATTACAGTACTTGTGTCTGGTAATTTGTATTTTTGCTGCTTGCCTGTTTTCTACACAATAATTAGCGCTGGGCGTTGATTTGAATATGCTGACTGGGAGAGGTTCAGAGCTGCAGGGAGGGAGGGGGGCTCACTGAGAGACGAGTGTAAGGATTAACTACACACACAAACGAAACACACGAGTGCTCTGTAATATACACTCAGCTCTCAACTGCTCTGAAGTTAATTTTAATAATAGAGTGCAAAGGCGTTTACATGAGTGTAAGCTGCAGAAACACACACACACCCACACACGAGCATGCACACACACAGTGTATTAACGTCTTTAAGTCCCCACAATTTGGCCCAGAAGAAAAATGATTTTTATGAGAAAAAAAACAAACAAACAAACAAAAACAAATACTTTGTGTAGGTAAATGTCTGCGTTCAGCTGAGTGAAAATGGGTCAGACTGTGTGTGTGTGTGTGTATGTGTGTGTACCTGTGTGTTTAAGGGAAAAGGGTTGTGAGTCGGTCCTGGGATGTGTTGGTTGTGTTGCAACATTCTTCCCCGAAGGACTGTGATTGTGGCGTGTGTGTATGTGTGTGACAGAGAGAGTGTGCTGGCGACAGCCGCCTGTCTGTCCTGGCTGACGCTCACCACATGGAGCTATTTACACCAAGCACCCTCCACCCTGCTGGACACACACATACACACACACACACATACTCACACACTTTGTCTCTCTCGCTCTGTGTGTTCTCATGTTCCCTCTTTTTTTTTTTTTTACACTCAACCACTTTCTCTTTTCCTCCCTGTCTTCTGGTAGCTCTTTCGCTCTTGTCTCTGCTCTCTTTGTCTTAGTTTGTGTGTGTGTGTGTGTGTGTGTGTGTGTGTGTGTGCCTGCAGGCTTTTGTGTGTCAGTCCAGTGGTTCATTGTGTTTAGAAGGTAAAGCTGTGTGTGACTAGAAGCAGGTGGCAGGCAGGGGTGTGTGTGTGTGTGCGTGTGGTCTTATATGTGTAATCACTGTTATCAGGACTATCTTCTTGAGGACAGGTGAGAGCAGAAAGAACACACACACACACACACACACACACACACACACACACACACACACACACACACACACACACACACACACACACACACACACACACACACACACACACACACACACATAACATCTGCCTTCTTTCATTACCGTTAACTTGCCTCTTCCCCTTCTTCTTGTTGGTATTGTCCTGGTCCAGGCTCTCATTTCTTCCCACTATTTGTGTCAAAAAAACACAGCCTCCCACCTGTTTCTGCCTTAGTCAGTATACTCAAACTGTCATGAACCTGAATCCATGAGAAAAAAAGCAGGAGTGTTTTTTTAGAGCTGATGCCAGTGAAGATCATAAGTGTTCCATGTGATTAATAATGGTGTTTGGAACAGATATACATTGACAGCACAAACAAAAAAAACTTTCTATCAAAGATTGCATCACACAGTTGTATGGCATCTACCAATCAGATTATGTTGTGGGTGAGATGTTTGGTGAGTTCAGGTGATGTAAAAAAACAAACGTTAAGAGAAAGACCCACCAGGAGCAGAGCCAAATTAGCATAATTCCATTGATTTTATTTTCTGATAATTGGCCAAAGGTCAAATATTGACCCTAAAAGTCAGCCCAGGCTGATAATAACTCTGCCCCTAAAAATCCTTCTTATTCAGCTCCAGCTGAATTGTACGAGCCTCGTGTTTGAAATTTACAACCAGTCAGACCTTCTCTCCCGCTCTCTCCCCAGCTGCCTACGCTCTGCAGCCGTGCCGTGCAGCTGGGATCCCTCTTCATCCGAGGACTGGGACACCTGCTGGGTGCTAACTGTGCCAGCGGCTGCCCGCTGTCCAGCCCTGCCCTGATGCCCTGGCACTGCTTCGATGGACGTCTGTTCCACTCAAAGTACCTGCTGGCACATGGCGGGGTGGAGAAATCTGAGCTGCTGGAGGGCGATGTGAGTGGAGACGGGAAAACAAAAAGGGGAATGTGCACATGTGTCCATGTCTGGGAAGAGTTTGAAGGAAGAAGAAGTGACAAACTGCTTTTTATTTTAATCACTTGTTGGATTGTGTGTATCATTTTGACCTCATATGAACTGTGATTGAAGATGTGAGTGATGCAGTTTCGTTATTGTTCGCCTCTCTCTCTCTCTCTCTCTCCTCAGTTGTCCAAATTGAATCTCTTTCTTCGCTTGAGGGAAAAACTAACAGAAACCTGCAGCAAGCATAGCAGAGTCCTTCAGTCCAGACCCAAACCACCAGAGCTGAGTCATAAAACCACACCAGGACCCAGATACAAAGAGAGACACTCAGGTGAGATCTGACTGACTGTGAAATCAAACACACCTCACAATACCAGCTACCTTCTCAGTAAAAGTCCAGTACCAGTGCCTTCTGTGGGACACTGTCAACCATCTATTGTTTGTAAAATTGTTGCTGCTGTCATCCCAGAAAATGCAAAAATCTACAGTAAGGAAAAAATCTGAATCCAATACTCACATACGACTCGAAAATTGAAGTGCTTTAGAGTTGTTTTGGTGCTTCTAACTTCAGTCACTTGCCACAGTTTGATTGGGACATAACCTTCGGCTCACAAAGAGAAAGTTTGGCATTTGCACATCAAAACTAGGAAAAGGTATTTTGTATATTTAAATGATATTTTTATTGCATTATACGAGGTATTGTTGAGATTTCATATGAGATTTTATTTCACTAAATCGGCACAAATAAAAGTTCCATGAAAACACACGTGTCAGCTGTTCGTATCACTTCATATTTCTTCAGGTATGTTGTGACTCAAAGGTACTGAAATCCTTTTGCATGTCTCCTCCCTTCTCCTGTTATTCCACATTCACTCTGCCTGTAAAACGTTGTTGCTGTGGTCATCCATGCGAGATAATTATAATGCTACTGTTTTTACCAAGAATCTTTGGAAAAATAGTTTTTCACCATCCTGGTTAACTAAATGCCAGAGTGAAAACAACACTTTGACCTGAATTCAGAAATGTTTTTTTGTTCCTATGGTACCCTTGTGGTATGATGGTTTCAATTCATACAATGTCACCACAGCCGTGCGTCATATCTCTCTTTCTCTTCTCGTAGTCCTTGACTGTATCTGTCCTGTAAACTTTACAATGAGTAGAAGAAAAATGCTTAAAAACAAATGTTACAAAGTGATGTTTTGATGTCTGTATTATTTTTAAGGTTCCAGCAGTTTTGGTCAGAATGATCTTTGTTTCTAATTACTGTATAAAAGACAGAAAACTGAAAAGGCCTCCAGTCGTCTTCGCGACAAAAACACACAGCAGCTCTGAGGAAAAAAAGACAGAGATGCATCATTTTAATCTGACAGTTCATCTGTGGTTGTAGTTCTCTGGTGCCCCTCACAGAACCACATTACCCAGAGGGCCATGCTGTAACGAGCTCCATGTGTGCTGCGGCCGTAACACATACCACTGTGTGTGTGCACGCTTGCATCAGAGACTTGCTTTGTCAGTGCACTAGTAATAGTAGGTTTCTGTTTATAGGCTGGGAGAGCTCTATTTTAAGACACACAACAAGACGATTTGATTATAGACTTCTCTCTGCTGTCTCCCCCTCTCCATTCTCCCCTTCCCCTCCGTCTTTTCCCTCTAACTCTTTATACTTTTGTTTTCCCCATCCTCTCTGTGTCTTTGTCTAAGTCCTCTCAGTTGTTCTTCTGTGTGTGGAGCTGTCACAATCTCCAGACACCTCCCCAGTTTATTACACTCATGTTCACACATTCATTGGTTTGTTTCCATGAACGGCGTAGTCTTTCTTTGATTGAGCTTTCCTCTGTAGAGTGCACACTGTCGGCTTAAATTAGCTTCCTGTTGATGAAAAACTCATCTGTAGTCGACAGTCCTGATCTAAAAGCATCTCAGTAGTAGCTTATGAAATTTAAACCTGTATTCTTTCTCCGACCCTTTGACTTTTAAACCTTTAGGATTGTTTCTCTGTGTGCCATGTTGGCGCAGAATCTCTGAAATTGCGCCGAACTGTCTGCTTTTTGCCCAAGTCAACCCTTGTGGGTCTCTTGAGGATGTCTCTGGTTTTATAGATGGAAGGCTGCTCACTCTCTTTACCTCAGTGTTTCATTTCTGCCAGACGCAGACACCAATCATTACTACAGAACTGTGGGGAATGGAGTGTGTGTGTGTGCGTGAGAGTAGTGGTGGCGCTATGTGGTACAGCGAAGGGCCTGGTTCGGTTTTTGTTTGGAATCGGGCCTGATGTTTAGTCTCCTCAGCAAATATCTCCTCTGGCCTCCTGCCCTCAGAATTACACTCTGACAGTGAATCCAGTAGAGTTGCTCTCCCACGTCTCTTCACTTTATTTCTGTCAGAGAGAAAATGAAAACAAGCCCACACTCAGATTGGCTCACACTTGATGTGGACGACAGTTTACTCCACATCCAGCAGGGAGGAGTGTGGATGTTGTTGTTCTTCAGACCTTTTCAGTTGGTGGGCTGAAATTTAAAGAACCCCAGTCTGGCCCCTTCTTCATCTAGTGTAGAAATAATGTAATTATGAAAAGGTTTACTTAACAATGTTTTTGAGTGGAGGGAAACCAAAAATGTCCAATTATAATTATTTGAAGACCTCTGTCTTTTTAAGACATGAAACTAAATATTGATCAATTAATCAGCAGGCTGATTGATTGGGCTGATGAATTTTGACATAATCACCGTCATATGGACAATGACCTTCACATGGCCCAGGCCCAGTGACAGCATATCCAAACTACAGCCACTGACTGTAGTTTTATACAAATAAAGAATAATGCAGTTGAGTAAAAATGTACATTTTTATCTTAATTATTATTATTTTTTAAACTAAATTTAGGTGGCTGGGCAGAGATCTAAAAGTCTCTTGTGGCGATATCATGCTGAGCCAAATACTTTTCCATCTGCATTTATTAAATAAAACATTCACTCTAGTTCAGCAATTTTGTCTCTCAGTTAGTATTATGTTTAAAAACATCAATGTGATATCAGCATTATCTGTCAGCCGTTAGCCAACTTGACCCCTGATAATTGGTATCCGCAAATGCTGTTGAATAACGACGGAGGGAAAGCGGCCTGATTCAGTCTAGAGGGTACAGCTCCCTATGTGCAGAGTCTGAACTTCTACTTCGCAATACTTCGTCTAAAACGCTCACCATGAAATCTGCCACATGTGTTTGATTGTCTCAGTGTGGGAATAGATTTTAGAGGTAGCTAAAAACATTTCATTTTTTTCTTTCGGTTAATCCCCAAAAGCAGAGGGAAGATCACAGACGTTCATGAATTTAGAAAATATGTGTCTTCCTCGTTGTTTTTGTTTGTTGTTAGATGACAGCTGTCAAGCAGATCTGTGAGTGCTCAGCCTCAGGAGACATTTTTCTTTTCTCTGAATAGTTTTGCTTAGTTACTCTGACAGAGTTTGTCAGACTTGATGAGGTTGAATGTATGCTGTGATATGGCGTTTGTTTTTTTGCTGTTCTGTGGGAAGCCTTGAAATAATTGTGGGCAGACTTTAAGGCAAGCTCTGAATGTGTGTGTTCGTGTGTGTGTGTGTTCCTCTGTGCGAGTTGAAAAGAGGAACAGTCATTGATATTCTTGTACAGAGAAACTTTACCAGGATCACGAAGATTGTAAAACTCAGAATCTGATGCTGAAGTATAAACGATGTCAAGCTTTAGGTGTCAAACTCCCTGTAGCATTTATCTATCTCCAGATTTAAAGAAGATACAATCAATTCAGGGGTCAGGGGTTTCTGATCGAGAGAATCATGACCAGAACCAACTCCACTATCAAGAATAATGTTCAGACCACTGGTTCATAATTTTCTTTTTTAGTGTTGCTACTTCACATATTTTTATTGTTAATATAAATTCTCTTATCTTAGTTGGTGATCAGAAATGTATTATCTTGATAGAATTAATTCTATAAATTGGGGCACTTCCTGCTGGCTGTATGTGAAGCAGTCTACCACCCCATTTATGGAGGTTATGCCTCAAGTAGTGGGGCTGGGCTCGCTACCAGCCTGTGGCTCCTTTCTCGCATGTCAGTCCCCACTTTCTCATCCTGTCTCCTGCTCTGTCCAGCATCCTTTCCCCTTCAAATGAGTAATAATAATGATAATAATAATAATAACTTTATTTGAAACACACTTTTAAAAACAGAAGTTTACAACGTGCAAATGAAAGCAGTAATGGCTGAAAATAAACCTTATTGCAAACTCCAATCACAGAAACTGTTTCGTCTCACTTGACGTGGAAAAATGTTTATTTAGGCTTAATTTCATCCAAATTGACCTGATATCAATTGAAGACAAATGTCCTACTTCAAGACGTTACATGCCAAAAATAAGAACTGAATTGCTTGTAATGGATTAAATATAAATCTGCCAGTGGAATAAGAAAAATTTATTATCAATTTGAGTGACTAGAAGTGCTCTTGCCTCACAACAAGTGGGTAGTGGGTTTGAATCCCTGACAGGGCAGGGGATTCTCTGTGTAGAGTTTTCATGTTTCATGTGCATTGGTGAGTTCACCCTCGGTACTCTGGCCAGCCATCATCAAACTGATCCAATATTTAGTATGAAGTATACTTCAGTTAAGGCAGTTGATGGATGGCCCTGTATTTGCAAACAAGATCTAAATGTTGTATTTTTCTTTCAGGTCAGCCTTCAGGTGTAGATGGGAACTGGAGGGAGAGAGGAGAAAAGACAAGAGGTCTGCATCATGAAGGAGGATGGAGAGACAGAGGGGAGATGAGAGGAGGAAGAAGTGATTATGAAAACAGAGGAGGGGTTTGGCAACGAAGAGGAAACAGAGGAGGAAGAAGGGGGGTGAGAGGAGGCCAATATTTTCATCCTCATTCATATCCGAACTTCCAGGAGGGTGGACCTCACAGCTGGGGACATCATCCACAACAGTCCAGAGGAGGGTCTTCTGGCAGCAGAGGGAGATACCAGCTGGCCCCAAGGTGACAACAGAGTGAAGTACAGCATTTCAGCAACATCATTTATCATTTACAGACAAAATATATATAATATATGCCAATATTAGGTCATAATCTGAAACTAGCAATACTGTGAAGAACAGCACACTAAAAAACCTCAAACTAAAGTGATATGATTGGTGTCAGTGTTGTGGTAGAAAGTGAATGGCGGAGAACTTTATTTCATTATTATAATTTAAGTGTTGAATTTAGTGTTTTTGACCATTTTTATCTCCATGTCGGTTTGTTTGGGTGGGGCAGATTTATGAGGCATTAGTTACTGTCTGATCCCTCTGACTAGTTGTGTTTGTAGAGTTGGAGGAACTCAGATGTTTCATGTGAAACTGCAAAATTTGGCACAGTATAGGCTAACATCATGTTCTCCGATAGCACTGTGTTGTATTTGTTTGCCATCATCAGGAGACAACTGACCTAATAAAAGACCCAAATGTTAGGCTGTATCGGGGCATTTTCTAAAGGTGATATCAGTAATAGACCAACTAAAGAGGGAACTAAACTTGTTCATTTTTTTCTGAATTTATCTTTTCTGTAATGTCATCCTCTCCTCTCATCTCAGATGGTCTCAGCCTCCTGATCCAGGTACATAACTCCACCCTGAGCTGGACAGGAGGAGGATTAGAGGAGTTAAGAGGATGGAGAAGACATGATGAAAGGCATGAAGGAATCAAATTTCTCTGAACAAACCCTTGATTGATAATCTGTCGGGAATGTTTATTTAAAGGATACAACTGGTGAAGGACTGAAGATCAAGAAGAAGAAGAGTGAAGTGGACATGTCAGTTACTTTACGGATATAATCCTGTTCATTTGTTTATGTCAAAATAACCTGTCAGAAATACTTCTAAAGACAGTTATTTACAGAGGCATCATTGCTTTCTCAAGGAGAGTTACCCTTCTAGTTACATGGATGGGACAGTCAGAAGGACTCTCCAAACAAACACAGATGAGCCTCTTAAAACACACAGATTAATGGCTTATCCTCAAGCTTGTTTTTACCTCTTATCTCAATAAAAGGGAAAAGATCTTTAAATCTGTGTTTCCAGAAGCACAATCCTTTTATATGGGGCTAGTCTTGAGAGGAGGAACAGTAACTCTTGCATCTAATTATAACAGAAATAAAGCATTAAAGGATCTACAAATGAACTCAAAGAGATATTAGGGCAGAAACAAAGTGAGGCTGCAGAATATTCTGAGTTAAATGACTAGATAAAATAAACTTATTGTTACAATGCACTGATTTATGCTTTCTATATCAATAAATTGTCTTGATTCTGAGACATCCATGTCAAATATACATTTACCTTGACTATATAGGGGCCTCAAGTTGCTTATCTTTTCTTTTTTTGAGTCCCTGGTCTATTAATAGATAAACTGTAGATGTCTTTCAATTTATTGATGTTTCCTGAAGTTAAATCGTGTAATTCTAGTTTTATTAAAAACATGAAAACCAAAATCAGAATCATTTCTTTGGATGCAGACTTCAATAGTGTTTTAATAATTGTTAGTATGTTCAAAGACTGAAACATTTTAATTCATACTTTGGCACTGTGTCTTATCAGCTTCCCCTCTTTTGCAGTGTGGTAAATTATTTTTGAAAACTATATATATATAAAAAAAGAACTGAGTGGAGTAATCCCAGAGCAAAGTTCCAGCCTTCAAACTCCACCTTTCTGTAATTTATACTATCTTTTAATGACTGAAAAAGTGTACAGTGACAGTGAAACTCACAGTAGTGAGTATGAAGGAAATAACTTTTTTGTGTGCACGTTTGTGTGTGTTGGTTTGATGAAGAATGCATAGCCAACATATTCAGGTTTCCTGTAGCACCGTGAACACTGTTAAATCTCCCAGAGAGGAAAAGGATGCAGAGAAAGTTCCACACACTGAGTGCTTCATAGTCCACTGTGTGTGTGTGTGTGTGTGTGTGTGTGTGTGTCTGTGTGTGTGTGTGTGTGTGTGTGGAGTTAGTTTGAGCAAACCCCAAAACTGCATAGATGTATGGTTAACACTTTACTTGACGCCTATCTCTGTTACGCATTATAAATATATGTATAATGCATTATAATCACGTTATAGCACTGTATAACTGTAGTAATAAACACTCATAAATGATCATAATGCTTTATAGCAATACTCATTACACATTATAAAGCATTTTATCATGACTTACAAGGTCAGGTATTATATATATAAATACATATACGTGTTATGCTTATTGTTATAAAGCCTTATGATAAACAATGAGTGTTTATAATGATAGTCATACAAGTTTAAAGGCAACTTATAACACATCATAAATATATGTATAATGCATTATCTATGTGGGCATTGTCAATGAGTTGTTAACAGTTATAACACATTATAATACCTGACCTTGTTAGTCATAATAAAATGCTTTATAATGTGTTATGATTATTGCTATAAAACATTGTGATCATTTATGAGTGTTTGTAACTACAGTTTTATAGTGCTATAATGGGATTATCATGCATTATACATATATTTATAATGGGTTATACAGATAGGCGTCAAATAAAGTGTTACTGATGTAGGTGATATAAATTGTAATGTAACGCTGTTTTTGGAGGCGTTATGTTATAACTAGATAACCACCACAACACCAGTTAAATGTAAGCTTTGTATGCAAGAATAGAAGAAAGTAGTCAGCGAGGATGGCTTTGGTTCAGTGGCAGAATAGGTGTGTCCTTGTCCAAACTGCCCCTGTTGGCGTTGCTCAGCGGTGTGTTATTGGGATTAGTACATACTGATGGGTGCTTTATAGCAGCCTCTGCCATCAGTATGTGAATGTGTGAATATGATGTGATGTAAAAGCTCTAAGTGATCAGGAGACTAGATAAAGTGCAGCGTAAAGTAACCATTCATCAATTATTGAATATACTGTATTTATCAAAGCAAAACTATGTTCTCAGTTGTGGGTTGTACAGAGCTACATGTGAGCTGAAGTCAACTAGCTAAAGCAATCAACGTCATTTATCTTCATGTTTCATGGTTTCATTGTTGATGCCTCTACAGTGATGTAATGTATCCTGTGAGACAATCAGCACAATGACTGCTATGGAGCCTTGAAAAATTTACAATTTTCGTTATTTAGCAGATTTTTTTTAATCCAAAGCGACATTTGACTTCGACTGGGCAGAGCCAGCAGGGTCAAGTGTCTTGCCCAAGGACAACTAAACACATCGCTCTGGAATCGAACCCCGACCTTCTGATTAGGAGATGACTGACTCTACCAACTGCCCCCAAATCATCATGGTGGGAATAAGACGAGACCAGTTCAAACCACTGATGTATACAGCATTACATTGTTGGGTTTACAATACCTTAGTAATGTAGTTTGAATGATGTTGTTAGCTTTGTGTGCTAATAGAAGGCTGCCATCTTTGTTTTGGTTGGTCAACTAATCAGAGGCTGTATCTGCAATCAGCTGAGCTGTTAAGGTCCAGTCAAAAGCAGGCTTCCCCATCTCAGCAGAAAAGTGAAGATGATAACACTCATATCAAAAACCATGTTGTTGACACAGAAAATGTGAACAGAGAAGCTTTTCTCCACACAAAGAATCCACAGAACTGAAAAGGGAACTGATAAAGATTGAGATCAATGAGCAGAAAGGATAATGGCATGGGAGCATGGGAGTTCACAAAATCTTATTTATAGTCATCTTAGGTTCCATCCTAGGTTGTTACATAGCTATTACAAAATAAATGTCTAAGTATTAAGGGTTAGCAGGGAAACATATTCTGTTTAGTGAATATTTGATCCACATGTCAGAGTCCACTCTTGAAGAGAATAACAGTGTGTGTGAGTGTGCGTGCATGAGTGTGTGTGACTTACTGTGGTGAGTGGGCTGTGTGTGTGTGTGTGTGTGTGTGTGTGTGTGTGTGTGTGTGTGTGTGTGTGTGTGTGTGTGTGTGTGTGTGTGTGTGAGGAGGGGCAACCAGGGTGGAGCACGAAACACTCAAGCAAATGACTTAGGTCTCTGCCCCCTCTACATAAAAACAATAATGGGAGGTGGGAGGTTTTCTGTGGTGAAGAGGAAGTAAAGGATGGAGGGTAAAAAAGGGAGGAAGAGGAAAAGAAAAAGATATGAATGTAAGAGAGCAAAGGAGCGATGCAGTAAGAAGAGGAATCAGAGGAGTAAATTAAAGAAAAAAGATAAGAGTGGAGGAGAGAGAGGCTTTTCATTTGGAGGAGAAAAAAGAATAAACAAACCAGGAAAGAACAAGCAGTTTGTGTCTGTAGTCTTGCCTCAACCACAGGAAACCCTGTTGGCTGCCACACAGATCAGCTTCCTCTATGTGTGTGTGTGTGCTGGTGTGTGGTGTAGGTCTGGGTGTGGTTCCTCCAGCAGCAGGGAGACAAACACTCTAACCCCCTCTGAAGGCCTCCTCTATGGGATTGGTTAAAGCCTCTCTCCTCTCTGCTGCTCATTATTCAGCGCACTGATTTTGTCTGTTATTTTTTCTACATCATTTAAACTCATCCTGAGGTTTTCTTGCTGAAAAAGTCACAAAAGTGAGCCACAACCTGGACCGACATCTGATTTAAAACCTTGTGGTTGTCATGTTGGCCACAGTAGACAGCACCTAAATGGATACAACTGCGACCACAAACCACTTCAACATACTCCACAGAAAGACAGTATCCACTGTGAGGCAGCGATGTGATCACCTCAGGACAGGTGTAACATGCTTTAGCCAAAGTTTTTTTTTTCCTTTGGTGACTTTAACTGCAACTCTGCTGCTTTATTGATCACAAACATCCTAAATACATTCTTTGGTGTGTTTATTACACCTATGACCATGTAATGGGATCAATTTAATCATGTGATAAAACCGCATTTATCTCACTGTGATTACATTGAATGCATGGTCATGGGTGTTGGGTGACATTCATGGTCTGCAGAGGATGAACCCCTCTGGTTTAAAAGATGATTTTTCTTTTGTTTCCTTGTTGTTCATACCCATGTCAAAGGACAGGATTAAACAAGTCTTAAAGGGATATTCCGGCTTAAAATTAAGTTAGGGTCAAACACACCGTAACACAGAGTTCCCCCCCCTCGAGAGATGAATGTTGCCGACCGCTTGCTTCTCTAGTTATACCAACTTTAGAAACAACTGCACAATAGCAATACAGAGAGCCACGCGCTCAACCATAAAGTCACTCTATAACTACAAATAATGCTCAGAACAGCACCAAACTTCATCAACAGTACATATAGGGTCCCAGCCACAGCACTAGCCACCAAACATCTCTTTAACTTTGCCTTATTTCTTTAGCAAAGAGACTAAACACGATTCACCCTCTCTCTTCCAGCAGCCGCTTGTTTGTATGGAGACCTCCGGGAGAGTCCATCGACTGCAGCGGGGTGACGCAGCTGAAGGAAGAACATTTCTTCATGGAAATGCAATCAGACAGAGACGCTAAGGCAGAGGAACTACCGTGTCTGCAGTGCAAAATTATTAACATTTATGATCATTACTTAAAGGAAATGATAAAGTAATGATCATAAATGTTCTTCCTTGAGCTGCGTCACCCCGCAGCAGTCTGTAATAGACGCGTCCGAGGTATCGCTACAAACAAGCGGCTGCTGGAAGAGAGTAGGTGAGTTGTGTTTAGTCTCTTTGCTAAAGAAATCAGGCAAAGTGTGTTTGACCCTTAATTAATTATATGCCAGAATATCCCTTTAATACCATTCAGACAAACTTGTCAAGCACATCTTTTCACGACTAACCCCTTTCATCAGCCTTACCACACATAATAAAGCAATTATCTGCGTAACATTCATCATCTCTAACATCAGCATCTTAGCATTGTCAGTGTTAGATTGTAAATTCTGCTGGTCAGAAAAGGCTAGCATGAGCTTGTCTTCTGGACTCGCTACAATGATGTAAAATCAACAGAGTGCAGGATTGTTCATATTCTGAGCTCCATCAAATTACAGTATTTGGTAGGTATATGTGAGGAGAAAACTCTAATTTACCTCGACCACAACACCGCTTGTTAACACTTGAACAGACTGCTGTTACAGAGTGTAATAGCCGTTTATTATACGGTGACAAACACATGTTATAGTCGGTTAACAAGCACCTTCAGATTAAAGTGTTGCTATAGGAAAACCTCCTAATTGGTGTTTTCACTCACCTCGCCTTATTACACAGAAGGTTAGATATAGCACTGCAAGAAAAAAAGGTAAAACTATATAAAAAGAAATACAGTTCATGCATGCCATAATTTTTTTTCTTGAATAATGCTGTGATTTTTTATAACATGCACTGATGCTTCTTTGTTCATGCAAACTTTTGTTACATCTTGATAGACATACTACAAAAGGAACTTGTTTGTCTTCTTGGTTGAATCGATGTTTGTGTGTCTGTGTGTTTTTATGCATGCACAAAAAAGGATCTTGGCAACCGACACACAGCTGTTATTTTG